TAACTGAAATAAGAAGTCCTCCTGGATGCTGCAAACTGAAGTTTTCAATGAGGGAATACGTCAAATGAAATAGAAATTATTCTTTCACAACAGCCAAATTCATTATTAGCCTTTCACAATTCCAGAAGGCAGGCAATCAGAGCTAACAAAAAACTTATTTTTAAAATATTACAAAATAGGAAGGCTAGACATGTATCTGTATAGAAAGACTCAATCTGGTAAAGATATTTCTCCCTAAGTTAAATTTGTAAATACATTGATATTCCAGTAAAAACCCCAATGTGTTTTTTTGTTGATAAGCTGATTCTATCATCTATTGAATTATGATTTTAGCAAGGAATGTAGTTTACATTGAGAATGTAGTAGTCATTCACTTAATATTAACTGGGCATTTGCTAATGTGCCAGGCACTTTTTTATGTGCTGGGGATACAGAAAGGTATAAAATGGACAAAAATTTTTGCCTTCACAGATCTAGTAGGAGAAGACAATTATATACATATTATGTGATAAGTATATATGGCTCCTATAGAGAAATGATCCTAAAGAAGCTAGGGAGTGCTGGGTTGGGGTGGCTTACTATCCCTAGAACGTATGAGCATTGGAGGCAGAGGATGAAGGAAAAACAGAGGCAACTGTCAGACAAAAAGGGCACAATGAGAATAGTCATGATAGTCCTAAGGCAGATATTTATGATGCTTTCAGTGAAGGAAGGGAGACTTGATGGTTTAACAAGGATCATGAGAGTTCTGTTTGCTCTTATAAATATTGATTTAGTAGAGGCTGGTGGAAGGATATGTTTTGGGGGCTTTTTTTGGTTTTTTTAAGCTCCAGCTTTATTGAGATATAATTCACATACCATACAGTTCTGGAGAAGACCACCCATTTCCTATGCTCTGTGCCTCCGTCAGCAGAAATGAAGGGGGAGCCCTGAAGTTCCACTTAAAGTGGGAAATTTTAATGGCTCTTAGTATATTCATAGACTTGTGCAACCATCACCGCACTCAATTTGAGAACATTTTCATCACCCCAGAAGGAAATCCCATGTCCTTCAGTAGGTACCCCTACTCCTGGAGGGGCACATTTTTTCCCTGGTACACCAAGAGCTCTTGGGTTCCCTGTTGAGTGCTACCTGTGCATATAGGAGGGCCAGATGAGGGGAGCTCTTATCCAGAGCACATGACAGCTAGCAAATGGCACTTTGAGGCTCCCTCTTCACTTCTGATGGAGGCATAGAGGCTTTGGGATGGACAATCTTATCCAGAGCATATAGAGCTTTCAGACTCCCCTTATATATGACAAAAAGGGGTTTTCATTGCAGTGGGGAAAAGATGGTTGGATCAGATGCCATTGGGACACTTAGCTCACTAGAGAAACATAGATCTTTTAATGTATTTTTCTTGAAAAGAACAAAAAATGCCATAAGCAATGTGGAAACACAATGACAAACTAGAAAAGTTTATTTGCAATACAAATTA